AGCAAGGCAGGGGGATGGCGAGAGCCTCCGACCACCCAGCTACCACTGGGATGCTGAGCCACGGCCCAGTGAAATGAGACAGGGATGGATTGGCAGCGACAGGGTTCTGCCTGCTTACGCCACGCTGGGATCCTTGGGCAGAGGCCATGTGGGGACATGATGGCTCAGCACTAGGGCTGAGATACAGGTCGTGGGTTCGAACCTCGCCCAGCTCAGCTGGGACTGGAAATCTCCACCTCCTCCAATGGTTTGGTGGCCAACGTGCGGGCGCAGCTCAGCATCCGGCTGGCAGGGGGCCACGTTGCAAAGACAAAATAGCCTCCTTGGCAACAGGTTCAGCAGAGGCCACGGAGGGCAGGAGGAGGTGAATTTGCTTTGGCAGATGGGGAAGGGATTTTTAACAGGTCATGTGGCAAATCAATGGCAGAGCTGGGAACGGAGCCTAGGAGTTCTCAATCCCCCGAGAACAGGGAGAGAACCCAGGAATGCTGGCTTCCTGGCCAGGAGACAATCCTGTCTCAAACCGGTTCTAGGCTTTACCCCAGCAACAGCCAATGGGGCTGTGAGCAGAGTTCAGAGGGAGGTTCTAGAGCGCTGAGCACATGAGAATCGACACCCCTGAGGAAAGAGCCTAGGTGGAAGAGCCCATCATGGAGAGGGTTGATAGCCCCAAAGCAGCTTCCCAGCCAGGATCTCTAAGCACCTCCCCTCCTCCCAGCAGGGTTGGATTACAGGTGGGGACACTGAGGCAAAGGGAGGGGAAAGGGCTAGCCCAGGGTCACACGGCCCCACATGTGGGGGGAATCAGGCTGCGTGTGTACAATGTCTAGCACCGCGGGGCCCTGATCCGGGACTGAGCTCTCTGGGCACTGCTGAAATACAAAGGAGAACAGCAGGGCTGGAGGATTTACAGGCTCCGTGTGAGGAGGGCTGGTTGGGTTGAGCCAGCAGTGAGTCCCCAGTAACACAGAGCTGCGCTAGTGATGGAAAATCTATTTTGTCTTCCCTACCTAGCACAGTTCACAACTTAGCACTGACCAGCTGCAAGGATCCTGGCGGGCCCTGGTATGGTTGTAGCAGCAGACTCAATGTTTGGGAAAAGCAAGATCTGTGCAATAGGCAATGTAGTTCCATCTGGGCACCAGCCAGCTCCTGTGCCCCAGAGAGCTCTCACAGCTCACACTGAACCACGGACAAAGGGGGCAGGAGGTTGAAAGAGAAGGTGCCAGCCTGGGACCCAGGAGACCCATGGTCATTTCCCAGCTCTGCCACAGATGCTCTGCGTGGCCTCGGGCAAATCCCTTATTCCCTCTGTGCTGCAGTTCCCTGTCTGTTCAGTGGAGGTAGCAGCCAGGCCGTGCCCTGCAGGGGGCAGTTAGAATAAATGCATTCGAGGTTGGGCAGTGCTCTGATGCCACGGGGATGAGGGCCAGGATGGTGCCTAAGACAGACCAAAAGCAAGGGGGAGCTACAGAACTGGTGGTGAGAGGGGTTTGGCCTTTGACAGTCTGCTCTGGGTGGGGAAGGACAGGCTCTAAAGCCCCGGCCAGGCCAAAACTAATCTGGGCTGGGGCATCCCAGGGTTGGGCAGTCACACATTGAAAGGCTTGTGCCTCGCCTGCCTATTGTGACATGCCCCCTGCTGGCTGCCAAAGCCTCATCCCCTCACTGCCAGGCTTGGTTCTGGCAGAGCGAGAGCTGGCACGTGCCGCTGGGAAAGCTGATCCGGCTGTTTCACCTCCGCCACTGGTAACAGAAAGTGGGTGGCCCATATACACGCTGGCTTCTGCCCACTCCTGACTCCAGGTAGGAGAATCTTCAATTGCCCGCCTCTGCTTTTCTATTGCATCGCCGGCCACGCCGAGCCTTCCCCGGGCTCCTG